AGAGAGAGAGAGAGAGAGAGAGAGAGAGAGAGAGAGAGAACGAGAGAGAGACTCTCTTACGGAGTCGACTATGACGTCTCTCCGTCCGGTTTATTAAGTACTAACGAATTCTTATGTCATACGGCAAACTATTATAGAAAATCATCAACACTCGCGACGTCCCCGCGCGCGACGCGCAGAGGGCACTGAGATGAATAAATAACGCTTCGAAGTGTTGTTCGACCTGGACCTCTGTACCATGACCTCTCGGACCGTCCTGTCCTGCCATCATGCCTACCACAAGGCAAGCCACTGACCCTCTTAACCCGGCAGCGACAGGCGTAGGCCGGCCCGGAGGATGGTGAAGCAGCAGCGCCGTCGTTGACGTCACGAGAAAAAGGCCCGCACAAACATAATGAAACGGACGATCATCAATTCCGGCCGGTCCGCACACAAACACCGTTGCATTAATGTATGATGACAAAAACACACAATTTATGTAGTAGCCCGTTTAATTGCGAACGACTGCTGCTTTGTTTGGGAGTCCGTGATAAATGCATGACATTTTTTTTTACTCGAGGGTGTAACTTTATCAGAACGTCTGACAAATCCCCTGATAAAAGAGTCGCGATGGCAAAAAAAAAAAGCTAGCTGACACCTTAAAGTTACTCATATATTCTTATGTTTAGTCAAAAGTTATCATCTGCTAAAAATTGCGTGATTTGTAAACGCAGCGTCTTTTTCCACTCAGCGTGTGAAGAAGCGGCGCCCATCTCTGCGGTGCTCTGCGGTCAGTGCTCGCGGACGAGCGTAATGGCGGAGCCCTCCACCGCAGTGTGTGTGTGTGTCTGGCGGGCGGTATAACATAACGACGCGACGCCGGGCTGCTTGCCGCTGCTGATTGAAGACGCGAAGGTCGACAAGGTGTCGAATAATTGGCCCAGTACAAGGAGATTGCTGACATGATGAGGGAAGTCGTGTAGTAAACATATACGTCAAACTGTGCAATAATAACTGTATCGAATCGTACAGCAGGGAGTGTGCCATGGCACTTCTATATTCTAGGCACAGAGTGTTGACAGTCTAGGGGTCAATGACCAGGAAGGTGATAATGATGGGAGTGGAATATTTCGGCTGGTGGTGTCAACTTGAA